GTTTCCCAGGTTTCAGGGCCAAATGGGCACCACCCTGTCTACCAGACCCTGACCTGAGGCAAATCTCTGTGTTCCTTCAATTGTTATCTATGATCTCTATCTGTTTTCTGTAAATATAGCCTTTGGCATTGATTGATAAGATTGATAGGCATGCTGTCCACCCTGCACACATTTGTTCTCAATAAAAGCCACTTCAAGAGAAGGCCTGGGGCATTCTCCACTAGAGGGAATTGCTACCCCTTTTCCTGGCAGACAGAGTGCCTGGAACTACTTATTTCCTTCATCCGTGGCAACCCGGGAGATTCTGCGGGATGGGGTACCCCCTCATGTGGCACCTGAACAGGGACCTCACATTCATTGGTTACTTTTTTAAAAAAACATTTTTTGTTGACACTATTGCAGATGTTCCGCATTCTCCCCCTTTTCCTCCCTCTACCAAGCTCCCACCTCCAACCCCCAGTCTTTACCACATTGTTGTCTGTGTCCATGGGCTATGCATATATTATTGGTTGTTTCTTGTATATGCCCTCAGTGGGGATTGAACCTGCAACGTTGGCATACCAGGACAACACTGCAACCAACTGAGCTACCCAGCCAAGACTCCCAAGTTAGTTTCTACCTTAAAGACTTGTTTTTGACATCTTGGAATGCATCCAATATGCCTCATTCATTTTTTACTTAAATCTTTGTAAATTAAACTTTAGACAATGAAGTGTGACCTCATTAATTCTCCCTTATGTACAGAATGTTCTGCCTTCTTTTACTCTCTTTTATTAAGTCTAATGTCATTCTCCAGAGATGCCTTTCCTGACAAGTTTATCTAAATAGACACTTATCTCCATAATAACTTATGGCTACCTGCAGTTATTTTGCTCACTTATTTATTTGCCTGTTCTTATCTGTCTCCCTTCATAGCATGCATGGTCCATGAGAGCAAGGACTTTGTCCTGTTCATTCCTCTGTCTCCAATCAGGATAGTGTCTGACACATCATGCACGGACAGTCAATAAATAATACGTATCCTGAAAGACAAGATTTGTATGTGAAAAACTAGGCTCACTGGTTCAGAGTTGGTACTCAACAAACACTAAATTCCTTCCCTTCTCATTGATGAGACTAATCAATTCAGTCCCTTGATCAGCGAATACCACATACACATCATCTTGGATGTAGACAATGTTAGGCACTATCATTCAAAAACATTTAGTAAACAAGTAATGTTAGTGTGGGGGGTATTTTTGTTCCTCCTAATCCACTTTTCACTCTTTGCCACCCTGGCGTATCCCCAGAACCCAGACCTTTAAGAGTGCCTCAAAGTATTCCCTTATTCTCTGGCATCTGACTGGTTTTGATCAATGGGAGGTGCCATCAGGAGATCAGAAAGTAGAAGGGTGATGTTTTCTTGATTTAGATCCTTAACTGAAGCCTTTCTGTTCCTTAGGGACAGCTCTCTCCTACAGTTCGGCCCAGACAATGGTCATATTCCTTCATGCCTGGAGTGTTACATACCCTGTTGGTTTCCCTTAACACTGCCCACCCCATTGTGAATAGACCCTTATTAAAATCTCCTCAATCAGCCCTGACCTGTGTGGCTCAGTTGGTTCGATGTTGTCCTGCAAAGTGAAGGGTTGCTGATACGATTTCCGGTCAGGGCACATGTCTAGGTTGTGGGTTTAGTCTCTGGTTGGTGTGCAATCGAGAGTCAACCTATTCAGTTTCTTTGCCTTTCTTTCTCCCTGCCTTCTTAAAAAAATAAAATAAAATAAAATAAAATAAAATAAAAAAAACAAAAAACCTCCTCAATCATTGAGGAGTCCTATCCCCCAAAATGGAACACCCATCTGTTTCCTGGTACACCACTATTACCAGAGGTACACCTCTGATAATAGAGAGAATGAGAAAAAAATGGGCAAAATTAAAACATTGCCTTCAGTAACACAAAAGTAACAAAAGAGAGAAGAGCTGTGCAGTGCCCAGCACAAATGATAGACCAAATGGGCACATTTGGCATCTTCTCTTTTTTGCATCTGGATCACTAGTTTCTGAGGTGGGGACCTCGAGAAGCAGATCCTGAGATGGAGTTCAAGTTTCAAGGGATTAACACCTATGAAAAGAAAGGGGAGAAACCAGGACTGGGCAGAAGGAAAGTTGAACTGCAAAGTAGGTTCCATAAAGCTTCAGTCAACCAAACAACAAGGAACTCTAGAGTGAGGAGTGCCTGAAGAGTGTCCTACATTTGGCTGAAATGACTCATCCTTTCTATTCTCTTGCCATTTACTCACTAGATTCACTAGATCACCCAGGGAGGAGCGATCTCAGGCAAGGAGGTTCTCTGCAGCGGAGATAGACCTTGAAGGAGCTACCAGCCAGAGACTATCTGCTAATTGAATTACCTGAAGCTGAGCAGAAAGTCTTACCTTAAAGAGGGGATGTTGAGGGCTATTTGTCTTTTACACCAGTTTGAATCTCAATTTCTCCTGGGTCTTATCTCTTACTATGCACACGTCTACCATGGGAAATTTCCAAGGTCTCTGTTCTAATGCCCCTGACCTAGCTAAAAAAATTAATAAAAAGAAATCTTTGCTTAATCAGTTCAGCTTATCCCAAGTACCTTCTAATTAAATATCTGTATTTTATAAATTGCCAACTGGTTGAAGGAAATATGATTCCACTTTAGGAAACCTGAGGTAGTAAGAGAGAAGATAGTAATATATAGCATCAGATACAACATCACCAAGCAGAAGAGTTCATAATTAAGTCTTTATATTCTCATGGAAAGGGTTGCTTTGTGATATTATCTCTAAGGTACTGAACATGTGTGGCTTTGATGATTCCTCCTTTAGCTTTATGTCGAACGTACTCTTAACCTCCTGTATGGTTTCTGAAGAATGCCGTAAGTCTTTCAAATCAGTATTTCTGACGGAATGTTACAATAAAATCTTCCTAAGCAGAAGTATTACATTTTAACATTGACAGAACACTTCATCTGCAATGTTCATCAATAATTAGATAATATCTGGTTAAGTGATTATGACTATTTTTATAGTAAAAATTGATGTTTTTGTTTTTTTAAAATGAAATACTCTTATCCCTTTTAGGTACTATTTCTTCACCTGGGCTTGCTAGAGAGAGTTAACATTGCACTACCAAATTTTAAGATATCTTGTTAAGTTATATTTAAACAATTATCTGAACATAAAATGAGATCATCTGAGTGTATTGGTATCAAGAAAGTGGGAGCACTTCTAGTAGGAGCAAATCTGTACAGGTTGGTATTTTAGGCGAGGATTTTTCTCTTCTTTTTCCTTGACTCAAATCTTCTTCAGGCCAGTCAACAAATTTAAGTTTGTCTGTGTTTTTTTCTTTCTTAACTTAGATACAATTAAATTAATTAGTGCAAAATTTAGCTGTAACAGCTTTAATATTGAATACAAAAAAGGGTGACATACATGATTAGATATTCCCGATTTGATATTACAAATTATGCAAAAAATTCTCTGCCAAATTTTGCAGCTGAATTGCTAATCTTCCTTTAAATGTTGTTAGTGACATAGTTTATAGATATTCAAATGCTTTCAAGAAAACACCCTACACCTTTAGAGTGTGAATGTGTACAGCTATGCAGTGCTCTAATTACAAGCCAACCAATCCTCACATTAATGCTCTATTAGTTTCTTTCTAGGGACATAAAAATCTTTGATCTGAGAGAGCAAGTTTCCTTGTAATTACTGATTTTACAAAACAGACAGAAAACACATTTCCTTTTTTTTAGGACTTTGAAAGCAAAATCCTTCACTTCAGCTTGCTCATGTGCTGGATATTTGTCTTATGTCAGGCACTAGAGGGGAGTGTGGTGTCATACAAATGTTGCATTCTGTAAACCACATACACCGTGGCATGCCCAAATGTGGGGAAAGGAACAGCAGAGATGGGCTTAGAAAAATATTTTCTCAAGATTGAAGTAGGACAACTGTGGCTTATGAAAACCTACTGAGATCTAGTGTTTTACACAAAAATTCCCAACATAGATAGGGCTTTCATTCTTTTTAAGCAACAATAACATTCAAATAACTTGATTTTCATAGCCTTATTGGTATTGTAAAAGGATCTATGCTTACCGATTTTTTTTAAGTAAAACAATATAGAAAAGTACAAAGAAAAAAGTGAATACAACTCGGATCACATTATATACTCCCATTGTATGAGGGAGGATTCTTTCAGACACCTCTCTCAGTCTCTTTTCACATATAGAATGTACACAATTTCAAATTCATGGACTAATACTGTGTCTGTTGTTTCTGGAATAGTACTGTTGAAGATGAAATGGACATTTTTCTCTGGCAGAAGACTTGATTCTTGCTAGGAAAGCCTAGTTGTTATGAGTAGAGTGAGTCATAGTTCCTAGGTTTAAATTTCTTCTGTACTCACTACGTGATTTTGGGCAAGTGATTTAACTCATCTGTGTACCTAAGTTTCATCATATACAAAAATGGGGATGATAATATTACTTATCTTAGAGAGTTGGTGTGAAGGTTAAGTCAGATATGTTTAAGAGGTTGAGACAATACCTGGGATATAATAAGTACTTACTATATTTTAACTATTATTCTTAACTAAATACAAGTTTCAACTTCATGGTAACAATAAAGTATTTTCTTAATGTAAAAGTGGAATAATTTTTCAAATAAATTTCATAATGATTTTTCAAAACCTTTTTTTGCATTAATTATTACTGCTTTTACATGTAATATATGCTTTCTCCCTTGATGCTGATATTTGCATGCAGCAAATACTGTTTGTACTTTTTTACAGCTTTATCTGAGACTTTAACAGAAACAGGTTAACTGTCTTTTTGTGGAGGACTGCTTAAGAAACGGTGAATGTGAGGTACCTTTAAGATAGACAGTTTGACATGGGCCACCTTTGTAAGACAAGAGTCCAACTAAAAATCCCTGTTAATTATTAACCCCCTGTGAATTATCTAGATAACCTGACACTGCAGATTGAGAACAGAGAGTGTTTGTCTCTCAAGTTAAGCCTAAAGACTGACAGAAAAATGTAGTTATCAAGGGATTAAAAAACCTAAACATTTTTTCTCTGGTGTTTAGTAGAGACAGTAGGGTATCTCCTGTTTTGGCTGGCATAGTGGCAGCCTAAACAATCGGTTTAAACTTTGCTTGGGACTCCTGATTGTTTTAACATGGCGGAGATTGGAATTCACAGAATCCTCCTTTTGGCTATTTCTCTGACAAATTTCCTGGAAGGCACAAAACTGCTGGCAGACTTTAAAAAATGTGCTGACTTGGAATGTGAAAGTAAGTTTGTTTTCTTTTTTTCCTTCTCTTCCTCAAACTGAGGCTCTGAAATGGCATAAAATGTTATTGTAGACATGAATGACAAAAGTGAACATTAATACTATTGAAAAATATTTGCAATTATAAAGTATAGTTCATTATAAAAAGGAAATGCTGGAGAAAAAGCATTTTATGATAGATTTTATTATAAATATACAAAGGGGAAAACGATCAGCCTGATATACAAGTATATCAGAAATTATAAAAATAATCTAGACCTTAAAAACAAAGTAGTCAGCACTTTTAATATTTTTAAGATAAATATAATTGATTTTATTTAAAAAGATATCAAGCCATTAGATGGATAGTTCTTGATTTATGAAGCCTTTATATTTTAACAAATTTTTAAGTTATTTTAGAAAGAGAGAAGAAGGGGGGGGAGAGAGAGAGAGAGAGAGAGAGAGAGACATCATTTTGTTGTTCCACTTATTTATGCATTCATTGGTTGATTTTTGTATGTGCCCTGACTAGGATTGAACCTGTAACCTTGGAGTATAGGGATGAGGCTCTAACCAACTGAGGAAGTCCTTATGTATTTTAGTTTCTCTTTCATAATCAGAACTTCTGATTCTCATAAGTTTTATTTTTTATTGTATTGATTATGCTATTACAGTAGTCCCAATTCCCTCCCCCCCCACCCTTGGCCCCTACTCCACCCAGCACTCCTCACTCCCTCAGGCAATCCCCACACCATTATTTATGTCCCTGGGTCATGTGTATAAATTCCTTGCCTACTCCATTTCCTATACTGCACTTTACAGCCCTATGGCTATTCTGTAACTACCTATTTATACTTCTTAATCCCCTGAACCTCCTTACTCATTCCCCTACACCCCCCTCCCATCTGGCAACAATCAAAACACTCTCTGTATCCATGATTTGGTCTCTATTCTTCTTGTTTGGTTAGTTTGTTTTTTATATTCAATTTAATTTAGGTACGTATTTATTGTGATTTTATTTTTCATAGTTTTGATCTTCTTTTCTTAAATATGTCCCTTTAACATTTCATGTAATAATGGCTTGTGTGATGATGAACTCCTTTAGTTTTTTTCTTATCTGGAAACTATTTGCTGTTCAATCCTAAATGATGTCTTTGCTGGGTAGAGTAATCTTGGCTGGTGTTCCCTGCTTTTCATGACTTTGAATATTTCTTGCCAGTCTTCTAGACTGCAAGTTTCTTTGAGAAATCAGCTGACAGTCTTATGGGAAGTCCCTTGATAATTAACTTCTTTCCTCTTGCTACTTTTAAGATTCTGTCTTTATCTTTAACCTTTGGCATTTTAATTATGACGTATCTTGGAGTGGGCCTCCTTGTGTTTATCTTGTTTGGGACTCTCTGTGCTTCCTGGACTTGCGTGTCTATTTCCTTTACCCAATTAGGGAAGTTTTCTTTCATTATTTTTTCAAATACATTTCTTGCTCTTCCTCTTCTTCTCACACCTTTATGATGAAAATGTTGGAATGCTTGAAGTTGTCCCAGTGTTCCAACTTCTAAAATCCTCGTTTTTGGGGGGTATTCTTTTTTCTTCTTGTTATTCTGATTGATTGTTCTTTGCTTCTTTATGTTCCAAATCATTGATTTGATTCTCGGGTTTATTCGCTCTACTGTTGTTTCCCTGTAAATTGTTTTTATTTCAATTAGAGTATCCTTTGTTTCTGACTGGATCTTTTTTATGCTGTTGAGGTACTCACTAAGTTCCTTGAGCATCCTTATAACCAGTGTTTTCAACTTTGCCTCTGATAGATTGCTTATCTCCATTTTGTTTAGTTCTTTACCTGGAGATTTGATCCGTTCTTTCATTTGGGTCATGTTTCTTTGTCTCCTCATTTTGGCACCTCCCTGTGTTTGTTTCTATGTATTAGGCAGAACTGCTATGATTCCCTGTTTTGGTAACATGGCCTAATGTAGTAGGTGTTCTGTAGGGTCCAGTGGTACAGACTCCCCTATCATCCTAGATGGGTACTTCAGGTATGCCCTTTGTGTGGCTGAGTATACTGTCCTCTTGAGGTTAAGCCTTGATTGCTTTTGGCAGGTCAGTGGGAGTGATTTACCCAGGGCAGTCAGTTGCAAGGATTGGCTGTGGCCTCTGACTACCAACCTCTGCCCTCAGTCCAGGATCAGCTGTCAGAGGTAGGGTGGTGGTACTCCAATATGATATGTAGTTGTCCACTGGGTGCACAGCCCCTGTGTTTTCCCTGGGGCTATCCTGCCTGAGTTATAGAGCAATCTGAGATGGCTGCCACTTATACTGGGCTTGGAGATTCCCAGGTGAAGCCAAACTGTGAATCTAGGCTGGCTTCTGCTAATGCAGTGCCTGCAGCCACTTAGCAAGAGATGCAGGGGATGGCTGCTCACTGAGATCAGCTGTTGCTTGTTTGCAATGGTTTAGGAAGTTGTGAAGCTTGAACCAAGACCAGCCATTCATATGGAAAAGTTATTGTTAACAGCTGTAAGATGGGTGGGACAGAGCATCAGGATATCTCCAGGCCAGGGAGAACAATTTTAGTCAGGGAGATGGAGTCTCAGATACGGTACACATCTGCCTGCTCTGTGGTTCTGCCTACCTCTCTGTCGGGGAGAAAGCTGTCCCCTAGCTCTTGCCTTGATGTCCATTCACTTTAGTTCCTCTCTGTGTGCCAATGGTGCCTTTCAAGCCGCTACCCCAGTGCTGGAGCTCAGAGGGAGTAAGTCTGAGTAAGTTTGTGTGTGGGTTCTTTAAGAGGAATTGCTTAAACTTCTGGGACTCCAGAAGTTTCTCCTGCCAACTCAATTCCTGCTGGTTTTTATAGCCAGAAGTTATGGGAACTCATCTTCCTGGCACTGGTTCCCTGGTCTGGGAGGCCTGGTATGGGGCTGGTACTCCTCGCTCCCAAGACATCCCTCCTGAATATTTATCCACCACACATTTATGTGGGACCAGCCTGTTTCGCATCTCTTCCCCTCCTAACAGTCTGGATGTATGTGGTTTCTTTAATTCTGTAGTTGTCAAACTTTCATTCAACTCAATTTTTGCCACTTCTGAGTGATGGTTGTTCTATAATTTATTCGTAATTTAGATATGGAGTTGTGCGAGGAGGAGAGCCTATCTACCTATGTTGCCACCTTGACTGGAAGTCCTCTCATGAGTTTTAAAAAATGTTTTTATTTCAAATGATCAGGGTTTACTCTCACAACTTTATCAAACAATAATTTGTGTTCATTTATTTTGTAAAAATATGAAATCAGTGTTAGATTTATATAATTTTATTTATATTCATTAATATTAAACTTTATCTTTTACAAAGATAATCTTATTTAATTGCTTAAGAGCTTAATTTATTCTGTTATTAACATTCTGGTGCAAAATGATTTTCATCTCAATATATCATAATCGCTTCAAATAAGTTCTCTCCTCCAGTATGGGAGCATTATTTCCGGTTTACAACTTGTAAATTAAAAGTGAAAAATATTATTAGTTTAAATATATAATTTACAAGTAATATGTTTATTAATAAACATTTTTCTTAACCATTTGGATTTGTAATTTAATATATAAAGTTTACTAAATGATGTTTTACAATAGTAATGCTCTTTCCCTTTTTTAAAAAATTATTATTTATTTTTAGAGAGAGGGGAATGGAGGGGGAAAGTGAGGGAGAGAAACATCAATGTGTGAGAGATATAGTAATCAGTTGCCTCTTGCACACCCCCAACTGGGGACCTGGCCCAAAACCCAGGCTTGTGCCCTGACTGGGAATTGAACCGGCTACCCTTCAGTTCACAGGCCAACACTCAATCCACTGAGCCACACCAGCCATGGTTCTTTTCTTTTTTTCAACATTATTTTAGTTTCTTTTGGGGCGGGATGAGAACATTGAATGGGAACATTCAAATTTACAGTAATTTATAATGCTATTTTAATTTTAATTGCATGAGTTAATTAAAATGCTTTACATATGTTAGTATAGTTATAATAGTTAATTTGGTAATATACATTATTTTATGTGTTAAATATAGCATATATGGTTAGGATTGTTCATAGTTTCTGAGGGCCCGTTAGGTGCTGGGTCTGGGTGGGGTAGTTGTATCTAAGAGGATTAAAATTAAATGTGAGATAAGCTCTTGACCTCCAGGAATTTTCATTCTAGTGAATAGTGACAAAACAGGTCATTATTAATTATGTGACAGAATAACTTCCGGTCAAGGTGTAGGTGTAGGTAAATGTAGCTCCCATCATCACATAACCACAGCAAAATTGTAGTAAAACTACAGAACAAATATTACTCATCACTGTCAGAATATCAAGCTGTATGGAAGTTGGACAACTAAGGAATTAAAGAAACCACATTCATCCAGATGAATAGAAGAGGGGGAGGAGTGGAGGAGTGGAGACACGGATATGAGGAGTGGGCTGGTTCCAAACCCATGTATTGTGGATATAAAATGGAGGGATATCTCAGGAGTGAGGGATCCTAGCCCTACACCAGACTGTGCAGCACAGGTTCCAGTGACAGGCAGAGAAGTCCCCATAACTTCTGGCTGTAAAAACCAGTGGGCGTTGGGTCAGAAGAAGAAACTCTGGGACCTTAGGCATCTCCTTTCTAGTGTCCCACACACAGCCTTGCTCAGACTCACACCCGCTGGGCTCCAGCATTGGGGCAGCACCTTGAAGGGCACCAGTGGCATACAGGGAGAAGCTGAAGTGTCTGGAACCAGGGTGAGAGCTGGGGGACAGCTTCTTTCCAGACAGAACTGCAGAGACCATTGTACCTTCTGTGGACCTTCCCCTACACAGCCAGTGCAGCAGCACCATATATGAATCTCCATGAATCTGGCTCACATAGTAAGCCCTGCCACTGATTACCTATGGGCCCGCCCCATCCAAATTACAGATCCATCCAAGCTGGTAACAGTGGCTTTTCCATATGAAGGGTTGGCCTAGGTGCAGGCTTCAGACCTTCCTAAATCTGCTCAAACTAGC